GGTTATTAGTTTCAAGTACCACACGAGTCGATTATTTATCATGCGCTCCATGGTCTTGCAAACGCAGCTAGTTAATGAGATTGGTCGATAATTCGAAGGATCAGTATGATCACGTCCAGGTTTAGGGATGGGTACAATAATAGCATCGTGCCATGAAGAATGAAATTGTCCAGAAGTCCAAATATCATCAAAATGTTTAAAAGGGTTTCTAAGCATGAATCCGGTATAGTTTCAGGAGCTGATAATGTATGTTATCAGCACCTGTAGCCGTATCATGAGCTGCTGATCAAGAGCAGTATGAAGCTCATGAATAGAAAATAGTTCATTGTAATCTTCCCCATTATCTGAAATGAAATTAATAGTTTTTCTTCCTGTTGTTTGTTATAATTTTGGAATTGATGTAAATAATTCGATGAGGAAGAGTGGTTTGGCCAAAGTTTCTCCAAGTTTATTTGCATATCAGATTGACTAGTTATTAATTCGTCTCCATCTTCAGATGCTTAATGCTAGATTTAGAACCCTTTACCTTTTATTTTCTGGATCATATTTCATACTTTTGATATCGGCGTTCGTGAATTTATTTTTTGAGACATAAGTTCGCCAGGATTGACGTTTACTTTGCTTGAAGGTACGCCGTGCCTTAGCATTTAAAATTTTAAATTTATTCAAATTATGGACCATAGGATGGCGACGGAAATAATTCTCAGCTTTCTTCCGTGCCTTCCTAGCCTGTTTTGATAACAGATTGTGGATTGCTGTCTCCGTGCACATTCCACCAGAAGGGAACCATTACGGAGACGGGTGACATTTTTCACTTCCCCACAAATCCCAGATACTGCCTTGGAAATAGCAAAAGGGTTTAATTTGATGGGAAGAAAATCAACAGCTTCAACTACCAGGAAACGAGGCCAAGAATCAGCATTAGAATGAACAGTTCTAGAAGAGTCATCAGCAGCTTCTATGCGTCTCTTCTTTTCATTTCTTGATGAACCAGATGATTGGGGATTCATAATGTAAGAAAAAATGGTTCAGCATCCCTGCTCCCTACCCACCACGGAGTGTCAACAAGGACAATGTCTAACTGCATTGGGTCTCCAAAATGCAAACACCAGGGATACAGGGATGTTATACTCCAGCAAATATGACTTGAATAGCTATATTTGTTTACTAAATTCATTGTCAGGCTGGTCCTGCCCATAACAACAATTTAGAAACTTATAGTAATCAGCGGTCAACATCACCAGATTGGCCCATGAGCCACCGCCTTCTGGCATAGGACTCTAGGCAAATAGATATAATAAAATATTTGTGAAATAAAACATTCAATATCAACATTATATAAATGTACATTGATATAAATTTGAATGATTCCATGCGCAGGGCACGGCGTGACCAGCCGATTGATAGAACCGGGCCAGTTCTACCACCCGTCTAGGTGAAGTAAGGGCCGAAGGGGTGTGTCGGGCAAAAAGAACACGGTTCAAGGCTCCCAGTGCCCTCAACCACCAGAATCCCGTCCTCCACCGACACAGGGGCGCAACCCACGGCAAACGGGTTGGTGGACCAAATATTCCCCCGGGTCCACAACGGGGGGTTGAAGGGCGCTTAGCGTTACCCAGCACCTACCACGAGGAGGTGGCCCTTCATGGGTGCCGTATCTGCTTGGGTTGTCAGACACGCTGAGATCATTTTGTGACTATGTCGTACCAGGAAGACTATATAAGGGGGAGTGGTCACTCCTCGGAAAGCACCTTAGCGTATGCCTCGGCTCGTCACGTGACCAGTGTAGCCAATATGGCGGAAGCGTAGTTTTTAAGATTGAGCCCGGTTTATTTTCAACAGCTGATTACATACGCTGAGTGTTGTGACAACTGAAAACCTACATGTAGAAGATAAGTTACCTATTCTGTCACTTCATTTAAAGTCAAATAATTGTTATTAGTGTCAGTATTAGTACAGTAGTTTTGAAGTAAAGTTTCAAGTCGGCATGTTGTAGCTCACTGGCTTCAATTCTCAGTACACAGCGAAGAAAGACTAAATTATATCGCTAAAAACTTCTTTCACATATTCGTTTAATTTTTAGAAGGGAAATATACCTTTAGTTGAAAGGTGTTTGCAAGTAATAGTGATAGTTTTATAACTAAAACAATTTGTTAGGGTGTATTTGAGGTGTGTGAAAAATATGACATATCGCCGATCTGTTCTGATACGCCATTGGTGCATGTGATGCTTGAGTGTTATAGTTCTAAAACTTCTTTCTTTCTTGTTGATCCTAGTATGTGACAAAACTGGAAAGGTGTTTACAACGCTTTGTGATAGTTCTAAACTTTTGGTTTTTGAGGGGTCTGTGACAGTGTCAGTTAACATTCTGTCAATGCCCATGCCATTCCACACATGCAATAAGATATCTGAATTAATTCCTAATGTAAAAAAATGTCTCAAAGTAGATTTAAAAAAAGGGACAGCTGTTGTTAACACATGTGTTCTACCGATAGTTTTGCGTTCTTTAACATGTTTGGGGAGGGATGGCCGTGGTGTATCATTTATTCTTTCATTCATTCACATATGTATTTCTTTCTGTTGTTCTTTTTCTTTATTTCTTTCATTCATTCATTCATTCATTGTAAAATTCCGACTGATACAATACACTGGCTGAAGTACTGTTAAACGCAGCCGAAGTTGCGCTGGGAACGAACCAAGTCGCTGTGTGCGTTGGAGCATGACGAGGCACACGCTAATTAGTACAAATGGTAAAGAATGCAAGCGAGTGACCTATCCCTGTAGTAGAGTATCCCTGGTCGTACTGACCACAGTGGATTTACTCATATTTAGAATATTTTTTAGCTTGACTGTGTGGAGTCACAAAGGTAATCACACGGGATTCGCATTATCAAGCGGAAAACCTGAATGATCAGTTTATTAATGTAAGATGTCTTCGGATAATTAATGACCTGAGGTCAGTGTATCTGCATCGTGTAGGTATGTATGTGTTTCACCAACTGCTCATTTTCTGGATTGTAAATGGTATTGTAGTAGCCCATTCTTTCAAATTGTAAAGTGTTTATTGTGGTGTTGGAGTGAGTATACAGAAACTAGCTTTTGTAAGTTTATTATGAACTTATGTGTAATTTGGTACGATGCTGATGAGACGTAAAATTGCAACTCATCTCAACTCAGCTGTTGTTGTTCTCGACCTTTGCACACGTTTTTGTTCCAACTGCACTTTCTCCCGTAGGATGTGAAGACATTCCACAGATGAACCTAAACAATCACATGTTTGTTCCCTCCAAACATTCCCGGTTCAAGCCGAGCGAACTTAATCATTGCGCATGCGCTATGGGCGCAGCGCAGCACAGCTGTTGAAAGCACTTTTCACTCCAGCGCTGGGGTGAAATTAGTGAATCGTTTGAACTCCGATTTCGGGGGTTTTTTTCATCGCGTTATTTTTCCACTTTATAAGTTGAATTTGCATTTTTGATCATTTGTTACTGTAAGTCCATACCGAAAGGTATCAGAATCTGCAAAGTTGTGTTTTGCGTTGCATGTGCCCTTTAAATACTTTTATGAGATACCAGTATTTGTACTAGGGTTATTTGAAAGGTATATTTGAAACTGATCAAGTGAAAAATGTAATCATTTATAATTCACATTTCACTATGTTTAAGATATTTTATTGAGAGAATTGAAACTGAACCCATTTATTGGCTTCAGTTTGGTTTTAATGAAATAAAATATATACAATAAAACGTTCCAAATATAGAACATGATCAATACCGGAAGGGAAGACATCAAAGTGAATCCTAAGACCATCCATATCGCTGAAACACGATGTATAGATGTTGTTTTTGCATGTACTTTTTAATACTTTTATGAGATACCAGTATTTGAGTTCGGGTTATTTGAAAGGTATATTAGAAACTGATGAAGTAAATGTGTAATCATCTAGAATTCATGGAAAGTTAGTGAAATGTGAAAACGTTTTGTTATGTTTTAAGATATTTTATGGAGAGAATTGAAATTGAACGCGTTTAATGGCTCTTGTTTTGTTTGAATGAAATAAAACATATACAATAAAACGTTCCAAATATAGAACATGATCAATACCGGAAGGGAAGACATCAAAGTGAATCCTAAGACCATCCATATACTCGTTTGATCATATCTGTAGCCAGGGAGATGTTGCTTCATCAACTGTTCCATATTTTCCTCTGCTCCAACGTGCCGATTCCTTCATTGGTACAACACTGCGGTGATGGCAAATGCAGGGAAATCCTTCAGTGTAACAAGCAGTTGAATCATATGGGAATTGGAATGTGCAGCTGTCATATTACAAAAGGTAAAGTTGACATACAGGACTGACTGATTCCGAGACTGAATTAGCTTCAGTCTGAAGTTTACTTATTCCACGCCTGGAATTAAATTACAGGCAATGGACAAATAGTGAGTGAGCATGGTTTTACGCCGCTCTTAACAATATTCCAGCAATATCACGAGTGGGGGTGGGGGGTTTCAACAATGGAAAAGAACTAACGGGATGTAACGGGTAATAGTGCCAACAGTTAACATCCATAAAACTCTCTTTGGTATGTGTATCACTTCTAAATGCCTTTCAAAGACCTACACTTAACATATTTTACTACTCCAATCTTACAATGGTGACCAAATCACCATGAACCCCTCTGTTGGTAACTGCTAATATGAAGGCAATCACATATCATTATGATCTAATCAATAATACAAATAAAGTTACAAAGAGATAACCGCCTGTAGCGTCAAACCTTGTGCAGTTAGTCATGTACAACTATTTTTGTGTGTGTTTAGTTTTTGTTCAACGCTGCACTCAGCATTTTCCAATTGCATGACGGTGGTCTGTAGATAATCCAGTCTGACTAGCATCTTTAGCTTCGATCTACGAATTTGGGATACGATGGCATAAGTCAACCAAGTCAGCGATCCTGACCACCCGATCCTGAACAGTTGCCTCTTACAACACGCAGAGGCGGCTGGGAAGCATAGTGGTTAAAAAGCTCGCTCGTTACGCCTAAGACCCGGGTTCGATTCTTCACATGAGTACAATGTGTGAAACCCATTTCTGGCGTCCAGCTCTGTGTAAAACCCAACTCACTCACTCACCCTTGCTCAGTCTCCATCTTTGTTGTCTGATCCAACTTGTTGTTCTTACATGTACACATATATGCTCTCTGCCTCATGACATTCTTTCACCTGATGAAGAAGTAAGTATATTCTCGGAACCGTTGGGTTCCTCATAATAAAGAAGTTAACATCCATAAAACTCCCACCCTTATGTTAAGTTTAATTGTTTTTTCTTCGAGTCACAAGTCTGATATTCCAATATTGTAGGAACCGACGAAACTGAGATGCTGAAATGTCCAAACGGCACGTTCCGCCTTGCTTACCTGGCATCGGGGAGACAGTCTTGCCACAGATATGGTTCCCTTGAAGAAGTATGTGGTTTGAACACATTTTTATTTCCCAAAATCTGGATCGGTAGAAAAGCAATACCTCTGCAAGTAATGAGTTGAAACGGCTGGTTAGTTCACGTAGACAGTCAGTATTTTGAAGTTTGTGGTGTCTGTGGAAAATTATAATCATGCAGCTGTCCTTTAAAATTTAGGATAAAGTCATAACCTGATTGAATGATGTCCATATTTGTGGAACTGCGGACTGAACTATCGCCACGAAGTATTGATGTTAGGTCATTCCCATATATGTTAAAGTACATAGTCTTTCTGATGTTATCGTACCTGTGGCAGGTAAAGAAAATACTCCTCGTTGAATAGTTTTTTCAATATGACAATTATTACAAACCTGTGAAGTTATCATGCATATGAACAAAAACGTATCATAGGACTCCAGAATCACAGGACTTCAGAGTGGCATCTACATCAGAGTTTGTCCAACAGAACGGGGCGCTCGTGAAGAGCAACCTCCTCATGGTGAGTGCTGGGTAACGCTAACAGCTCTTTCCCGTGAGGTCCTCCTCAGCACATCATTGCTGGTCGTAAGAGGCGACCGAATAAGGCAACCTGTGGAAAGCACCCCTATGCCGGAGGAAATGATTCTGGTGGCTGAGGGTAAAGGGTCCAGATCTGTGTTCACTTTTACCCAATACAATTCTTCGACCCTTACTTCACTTAGACGGGTGGAAGGATGGGCCTGATTCTATCTATCAGCTGGTCATGCCAAGACCTGTGCAGATATACAAGTTTTCATAGAGATGGTTGAAAACACAATTGACTGGATTTGATGGATTCGAAATTAATTTAGTGCTATACTGCAGTGAAAGTTCAATGTGGCGTTTCTCACGGGGTGGTTCAGGGTTGAATTATATCTCTCACTCAATATCTTTACACAAATAACAATAGCACATGTAAGCTGATTTGTAAACAGGAATATGCACAATTACGTTCTACAGAAAACTTTCGGCGTTGAATTTGTGAAGATGCTTCCAAGGATAGTTTCAAGTGCCACATGTTGTTAGTTTGTAAACTTCACGATATGACTGCAATATTGCCGATGGTATGTAACCATGTAACTCACTCACAGAACCGTGCAAAATCGCCTAAAATAAAGACAGAAGACGTATCAGACGTTCATCGTTATCCCCAGAGCACAAAGCAGTACGACTAGCTCGGTGTCAAACTCGCTGGAATTTGATGCCATAGGGAAGTGTCAATTTGTCGGACGAATGTCGATTTATTGTTTCATGAAATGGCGCCTGACGAAATACCTTGTAGCAAGTACTGTTTGGTGGGGGTTCATTAATGTGCTCTTACATGGCTGTAAACTTGACGATCAGACAAACTGTGAATGGACAATGGCATATCACTGACATCCCCGACTGAGTTGTTGAACCATATTTCCATCAACCATCCTCCGAAAACAAGGTCCGTCTTTACGGGTTGGCAATGCTAGGTTACATCGACATCGTGTAAATGCTGCTGCTGACGAGATTTCGATGTCAAGCGACGGTAGCGATCTTGACCCACCAGGAATCCAGATCTCAGTCCCATAGATCATGTTTAGTAAATTATGGTCGCAGAATACGCAAGAGAGATCCTTCAGTACAAAATCCTGACAAGCCCTTCATCAAGAATGGAACGCAACATCTCAACGTCAAGCTGTAATTCAATGAGGAGGATGAGAGATGTTATTGCAGTTGGTGGAGGTTACACCAGATAGCTAGGTTATGCTCGGTTTAGGATACTCTCTTGAGCAGTATATGCCAGAATCCTGAACATTATTGTACTTGTAAACGTCCTATTACCATAGTTTTTAGCACTACAACAGAGTAAATTGTATTCCATGCCTGCTTTCCCTGAGTACACTACGCCTGTAATGGTCTGTTTGGGTTATTATTGGTGTCCATTTATCAGTGATTTTAATTTGGTAGAATTATCAAATAACTGTGATTGTTGGTGAGTGTACCATCAAGGGGGATTGAAGTAGTGTAAAATAATTGTCCTCTTGAGAGGATACGTAAGTCCAATTCTATTCAAAGTATCTCTCATTGTACGTGGTTTTAAACGAAACATATGTCTTACTTTTAACTATCTGGCTAAACTGTCTGATAATCACCAGTTGCCAGAGGTAGGGCGTAAATCCACCTAGGGTACTATGCAGGTAGCAGAAGGACTGCAAGTCCCCAAGGTCCCTACTGTTGTGGCCTACCTTTGGGTGCTGACGATTTTTGTAACTGTGAAATAGGCAGTGTTTGTATAATGTACAGTTAGGAGTGGTAATATTTTTTCAGTTAGCTCACCTCACTTAGTATGGTGATCTACCTTCAGTTGCTGTTTTATATTGTATTGTTCTCTATGGTGATATCGTTTTGTGATAACATCTTAAATTCATCTGCATCTGTAATACTGTAGCAGACCATTGGATACAGGTTTCTATTTTCTAAATACATTCATTTATAATGTGTGAATTGATCTGTCTTCAGCCAGTCCCTCTGAGTAAAAGTCTGAATTCTGGAGACAAAGTGACCTTCACCTTAAGGACCGACTCGGATTCTTGCTGGTTTGTATATCTGCCAATCACCAAATGGTCGTTAATGTAGTATGTACCTTCAGACATTGTTGACTCGCGTTTTGCTAAATAAAATGTGAAATATCCTATTTTTCACAAGGAAACAAAAACCTTGTCCATGAGAGAGTGAGTGAGTTTAGTTTTAGTTTAGTTTTACATTTCGTCACTTGTAGCAATATTCCAGCCTATCAGCAATAGGCTACCCCACTGCCTCTCTCATTAAAATATTGTACATATTAGTGCAACACATTACCATCTTAGCAATAGGTCATACCTAATCTCAATTAGTCTCCTTATCTTGATCATAAATCTTTTGATTTTGAAGGTTTATCATCCGCCTGGAGCACAAGGCAACCGTCCTTTTCAGCATCAATGTAGACTATGAGAATGACAATCGTATAACTTATGGAGGTGACTGGGAAATGGACAGTAAAAAGTGGATAAGTGCAGAAGTACATCCTAATCTGATATCGAGGGCATTCGAGTTGGCAGTGGTGATGGGGAAGAATGACTTTCAGGTACAAAACTGCCGTTTTACACAATGGTATACAGAGTCATGTACAATACCATTGGGACACTTCTTGGTGAGCAAGCATACTGAGAGACCTATTCGCCATATACGCAAGTTAGTCATGTTAATGAGATGTGTGAATGAGTTACAATTTAACATCGCCAGTGTGTAAGTCATTTCGTGAGACCCATCAATACTGTAATGACAAATGCATGTAAACTGAGAGTAAAACAACAAGACCACTCGATTCCAACCTAATCGAAAATATAACATCAACTACAGTCTGTTTGCATTGAAAACGTACCGATGAATGTCACTTTAAACAAAAAAGTAAATCAAATAAAGTGAAATTAATATTGTGAATCCTCATAATTTGACCTTGTCAATTGAACATTTATATCTCAGAATTTTGTTCAACTTACGATAAAAGTTGTTTAACAAACGATCATAGTTTCACATCGCTATTATTGGTTTGTATTACAAAGGGGTGACCAGAATATAGTATCATAATTACTCGATTACAGTTTTAATGTTGGTTACATACAGCCACTGGTGACCAAAGTGATGTAAATCCTCCTTGGAATCATGATCTCATTAAGGTGATCTAGCTTTTGTTGCGTGTTGCACTCACCACGAGGAGGTTGCTCATCACGAACACCTCTAGTTTTGTGAAAAGAATGAATGTATGGAGTATTTGTAATCTTTGAAAGTCAACATATCATTGATCCATGTTGATTAATGGGTTTGGATTAAAACTGTTGATACATTGTTATAGATAATTCTACTTTCACGTTGGTTGGTTGGTTGTATAACGCCACACTCAGCAATATTCCAGCTCTTTGGCGGTGGTCTGTAAATAATCGAGTCTGGACCAGACAATCCAGTGATCAACAGCCTGAGTATCGATCTACACAATTGGGATACGCTGACATGTGTCAACCAAGTCAGCGAGCATGACCACCCGATCCTGTTAGTCGCCTCTTACGACAAGCATGGATCGATGAAGACCAATTCTAACCCGTATTTTCACGGGTCATGTGTCAAAATGAAATACATTGTACTGTAAATATTCATTTGACGGATCCAACATTCACGAATGAGCCCATATGTAGCTTTAAATATATATCAACCCTACTTTAAACGAAGCCACAATTAAATTCAATCAATAATTTCAGGTATCTGTTGATGACAAATGGGTCTTCACTCAGAAGATCCCCGAGGAGTTCCAACCAATGACTGTGGACTCCCTCCTTATTGACGGAGATGTGAAAGTCACAGAAACTCACATAGATTGATATATTTCACTGGTTGTTTGTAGTTTAACGCTGGACTCAGCAGCAATATTCCAGCTCTATTTAATATAGGCCTGTTACTAATCGAGTCTAGACCAGACAATCAACAGCATAAACTTGAATCTACGCAGTTGGAGTACAATGAAACCAGGTTAGCGAGCCTGACCACCCTATCTAATTGGTCGTATCTTGCGACAAGCAAGGGTTACTAAAGACCAAGTTTAACCCGGATCTTCACGGGTCATATATCAAAA